ACAAGTGTGTATAGATGTTAAGATTACACCAGTCACATTCTAAGAGGCTATTAAAAAAAACGACAATGGCGTCAAACAGAAAAAAAGTTAAAGGCTTCAGAATCCTTTTGTTAATGTTATTGAATGGCTAAATCAGAGGTAAAAATTACTGTAAACATCCAACCTGACTGGATTAAGGAGGATTTGAGATGAATTGGAGAAAACATAAAGATTTAGCTTTGAATTAGTAAACAGACATTTTTGAACTTCACTTTGTCATTCTTATGTTTACAGAGTAACAATGGAAGATATAAAATTGTCAGTCTGTATAGACTGCTGCTCAACAGACATGATTTTCCAACTGCTTATTCTAACAGGTGTAACATGTGCTTCACTTTGAGAATATAGGTGAGTTTTTTAAACTGTGTTGTGTGTTTGTGTCTGCAGGCTTTCAGGCTGCCTGATCACAGAGGAAGGCTGTGCTGCTCTGGCCTCAGCTCTGACTGTGAACCCGTCTCACCTGAAGGAGCTGGACCTCAGCTTCAATAATCCAGGACAGGCAGGAATTAAGAGTCTGGCAGCTCTACTGAAGAATCCAAGCTTCAAACTGGAGTCTCTAAGGTGAGGAAATATTGTCTGCAGCCACACAGTGATGATTAATACTAAACTCAGGGTTGACACAGGTGTAAAATATGGCCATTTACCATTTATTTAAACAGGGTGAACTTCAACAAACAAAAAATAATGCATAATTGCAAAATGGAAGGATAATTCAAAAACATCTGATTGTGTTTTTTATTTATTGCAGTATGTATATGGTCATTAAATGCTGGTATTTTAACCTTGTTCACAGTCTATGCTATTTATGCAGCTATTTGTGTCATGAGAGCCATGACACAAAAATTAAAGAGGGAAAAACAAGCATCTGTCCAGAACTAAACTGATTATACCAGGAAGATTTTAGATGTTGGTGACAGAAACTCAGTGATGGGTGTAAAGAAAAGCCTTAAAAACTGAAGTCTAAACTTTATTGTCCATGTTTACATCTTGAAAAACACTGGTACCATCGAAACATCTTCTTTCTTACAGCATGGAGCCTGCAGGAGAGAAATGGATGGCACCAGGTCTGAGGAAGTGTGAGTGTTTTTTGATTCATATCAGATTGTCTCATCTTTGCATCAGTGAATTCAGAAAGTCACATCAGTAACTGCATTGCGTTTGTTCTGTTTTTCAGATTCCTGTCCACTAACAGTCGACCTGAACACTGTGAACAGATTCCTCAAACTGTCTGATGAAAACAGGAAGGTGGCACCTGTGGAAGAGGAGCAGCCGTATCCTGATCATCCAGACAGATTTGATCCCTTTCAGCTGCTGTGTACTGATGGTCTGACTGGTCGCTGTTACTGGGAGGTGGAGTGGAGTGGGAAAGTCTATGTATCACTGAGTTACAGAGGAATCAAAAGAAAAGGAGACAGCGACAACTCCTTGTTTAGTTTGAATGATCAGTCCTGGTGTCTAATCTGCTCAGGTGATGGTTACTCTGCTTGGCACAATAGTGAAAAAAAAACCTTAATCCCTCATTCCTCCCTCTCCTCATCTGCCTCTGGCAGAGTAGCTGTGTATGTGGACTGTCCTGCTGGGACTCTGTCCTTCTACAGAGTCTCTTCAGAGACACTGATCCACATCTACACCTTCAACACCAAATTCACTGAAACTCTTTATCCTGGATTTGGGTTCAAGTTTCGTTCAAGAGGGTCTTCGTTCTTATTTTAGAGGGTCCTTAGTTGGAGGAAACATGAGAAACGTGTTTCATCCAAGATATGGTTTAGATTAACATGTAAATAAATAAAACTAATAAAACTCAAAGAGACACTACAGCTCAACAACTAAAAATACATAAAAATTGAAAAAATAATTAAAAGCTGAATTTTGTTTTGTTTTAAGTAAAGGAAATTATTGCTAAATAACAGAGACAGACAGGACAAACAACCATGCACTCAGTACTCACACCTAAGGAGAATTTAGAGAGACCAATTAACCTGACATGTTTTTGGACTGTGGGAGGAAACAGGAGAATCCACCATGCACAGGGAGAACAAGCAAACTCCATGCAGAGAGACCCAGTTCGGGAATCAAACCCAGAACCTTCTCCTGACTATATATATAAACACTCACTCTTCTCATATATATAATAGTTGTCATTGAGGAAATCTTTCAGTTTCTGGTTTCTGAAAGTAATTAGTCAAAATATAAATACTTGAAAATGGTCCATGTTTTCATTCTGAGTTTTAAAAGAAAGACTGGTCATATTTCAGGCAAACATGCTTAAATTACTTGTTTTGATATTTCAGCATCCGAGTATCCCAGATGTATCTGAATGCAACATGCACTGTTATTGGGAAAATCTGTTCATCGAAGATTTCCATTTACATCTTATATGTAATTTAATTTAATGCTAAAAGCAGCTATTTTAGATTCACAATTTTTCTACAATACTAGTGACTTCCAGGTATTTCAGTTGGATTTTTTTCTTTTTTTGGTCCGTCTGACTTTAATTTGCTTTAGGATTTTCCTTTGATGTTTACCAAAACCAGGAGACTCCAGTCACATTCAATTTTTTATTATTGAATAATAAAAATCTATTCATTTGCTACATCTGTTTTTCTTTCATTTCTAAATCCATTTCCTAAATACAATCTGACAAAGTGAGGACGCATACAGGAAGAATAAAAAGACAAAAAGATGTGGAAAATTTACAAATTATGCTCTAGAAGTAACTACAATCCAGCTTACTCAGATCAATGCTAAATAATGATGACCAAGATTATGCAAGGACATTTTTATTATACTTCTCAATAATAGACATTAAATACATTTCATTATAACTTGAGTGAATTATGTTAGTCTTTCCAATAATAAAAAAAGACATTTGAAGAAAACTGAAAAAAACAGAACCAAAGAATTAGGAACTTGAATTCAGTTCCTTTACAAACCTTATAAATCATTAAACTGAGCAGGATTATGACATTGATCCTTCACTTTCCCAAAACCTCCAACTCAGCTGCAGCAGAAAATGATACCATACATCATATAAGTTTTTATAACATACATAGAAGATTTGTATTTCAGGAAACCCTGTATGTTTTTAAGTGTCCCAACATGTCCCTGAGAAGTTTAACTGAAAACATTGTAACAATTTTCACACATCTGTAATTCTGTCTTTTTAGTGAAACTCCTGTTTGTTGAGGCCATTAAATCTTCCTTCAC